GGCTTTCGACATAACCCAACTATCCTCGTCTTCTTTTAAGCCACTGTCAACTTATTTTCCACCAGTTAACTCTTATTTATGTTACCGGGGTTTATATCATTATTACTGCCCAAAGGGGACATAAAACAGTGGCAGTGAGTCACAGTGCCACATTTTATGTTGCATGGTTCTTGTATTGTCTGAATTCCTTATGACATATGAAAATAGCATCAATTCTGTTTCAACTAAGTTTTTTTGTTTTTATTTGTCTTTTTCCTTGTGCTCTAAGACTATTTGTCAAAGCACTTTGTAAACTTCTGTTTTTAAAAGTGCTGTAAAAATAAAGCTATTATTATTATTATTATTATTATTATTATTATTATTATTAGTGGCAGAGCTATCTGCTTGTAGCACTTTTTTTCCCAATTTAAATATCAGAATTTAACATTAATGTATCTATAATTGTACGTCACGGTGATAGGGTAATTAAAAAAATCTAGCTGTGATGGAAAAGCTCAATCTTATTTCAAATCTACATGACTAGTATCATATAATTATCAAAGTTGTTTAAAAATCCAGTGCCTGAAAAAGGAGCTCTGCAAAATCAGGAAAATGTCTTCAGGAGCAAAAATCTTACAATCGTAATTTAAAATCTGAAAGTGTGAAGCTAAAAAGTGAGTTTAACAGACCTCTGGAGTCCTCTCATCATCTGTGCCTGAGGCCGAAGCTGCTTGAGGCTACATTAGCCTCTGCAAGAGTAAATACCTGAATCCCCACTTCAACTATCACCACTCATGCAGCACTGTGATTCATGCCGACACTGGGGTTTGGAGCCATGTAGTATAAAAAGAAAATGTGAGCATTTCTCTGATATATCAGTTTAGAGTGACTGCGGGTCACCAAACAGGCTGCAGGCTATTAAGATAACTGCAAGGTTGATGGCTCTTTCAAATGTTGAAACCTACAGTCGTACATCTGCAGTTTTAAGCAATAAGGAAGCAAAATATTGGTCAAACTTGGATGTGCATAACTGGTTTGGAGGCCTGACCCCTGAGGAACCTCACAGGTCATAATATGATTGTTTAGAAAAAATGGACCAACATGTCCTTTCTAAATTGACAACAATATACAAATTTAAGGCTGGAGCTGGGCCGACAGAGTTTTAACTTATTCAGCCCAAAGCTGGTCAGAAGACCGGGAATAAGTGTTCTTTAAAAAACTGGCTTGTATCAGTTTCAATATTGCTAAACTTTTGATGGACCCAGCGTCTGAAATGTCTGGGTTAATGTGTTTCATGTTAACCAAGTATTTTGGGCCTGAGGACGATCTGACCAATTAAAACAGAAGCTTGTTTTAGTATCAAAGGGGTCTGGTTGATTTTAGCGTTGGTGTCCCACCTTTGTGTATCATCAACTTTGGCCAGGTGTGCTGCCTCTCAATGAAAACAAATCTTTCAAGACTCACTACGATCATTTATTTTTTACTATTTAAAGTGCTTTCACTCATCTTTAAGTTGTGATTATGACGTTTTAAGCCAAAATCACATTATGTGTCATTTTCAAGTAGATCATTAGCAATTCGCCTCAGGTATTAAAGGGCTTTCCACAATCCTCTGAAGTAGTCAGACGTTTGGATCTTTTAACACAAGACAATGCATAAAACAAGTCTAATTGAAAATCAAACTTTTAGGCCAACAGCAGGTTCAAACCCAATTGCAGTCTCAGTCCACAATGTCTGGCCTTCACTTCCAATCTGTGTTTTGTAGGAACCCGTCTGTGCACCTCCCCTGAGTGGTTCACGACTTAGATCTACAGAGCTGAACCAGCCACAGCGTGGCAGCTCGGTGTAGTCCTCTATACAGTGCCTCATGGATATACACCTTTTGATGACAGCGCTGAAATAGTCTCCAAAGACCTGTGTGTCAGCACAAGTCTTTCCAACAGTAAGTAATCCCACCCACATACAGTAAACTTCAGATCCACAGGAAGTGTTTGACCATTTTTTGTTCTGTCCCTGCCAGACTGCTAGCACTTTCTATTTCGCTGTCTGGCCAAGAACCTGATAAAATTGTCGTCGCTGTTGTTTAAAGGTCACCGTGTTGAAACTTAAAACTCATCCACACACCATCGCTTTGTTCAACTTTGTCTTGAGCACTATTTGAAGAGGAGATCTCTCTTAGAATTTCCTCTCCGGAGGTTTATCCTCTTCACATGAGTGCGTTGTCTTTTCGGAGAGCTGAGGCTGGGCGAGGGGGCTTGAACATGTGTCCATTAGTGTGTTTTGGTGTATGTGTGGAGGTGCATGGTGAGGGGAAGAGGGGGTTGAAAGTATTTGTATCAAGCAAACCATATAAAAATTTACTAAAACCATATACTGCTTTAGAAATAGGTCACTGAGCGGTTGGTATATTTATTGATCTGCTACTATACGGTCACATTTATGTGGCGACAACAAAATCTGCCCCTGGGTTTTTGGAGTATAAGGATTTCCAACTGGTCATGTTTAAAATACAAAATTGAAGACTATCTAATGCAGTTGCTCAAACGCTAAGAATGCTGCGTCTACACATAAATCACCATAAAAACTCAAAATAAAGTCATTTTAACAAGTTTGTTTTAAACTGTGTGCCATTTGTAAGCCACTGTTAAGCTGCTGGAGCATCAATATAAAAGTGTCACTTGAGTAATTTGAGCTATCACCTATAAGCTCAGCATGCAGGTGCAGCTAATCAGACTGATGTCAGCGGGAAACTTAATCACCAGAGCCAGCAGAGCAATATTTTGGAGTGTGTATCACAACAAACCTGTGGAGAAACTAAACTGAAACTCATCACTGTGGAAGACATGTACGGACCAGTCATGTCCCTCTATCCCTGAGAGCAGCAGCTTCAGATATACAGATCCTTTATGAAACAGAAATGTACTCAAACTAGTAATTCTGAAAAGCACAAACGTTGTTGTACGAACCAGGGATCCCTGGATGTCAGTGAGAAATAAAAATGATTTCAGAATAACTGCACTCCATATTGACACTGACATTTAACACATGCACTCCTGCATATTCCTTTACGTTTAACAGTGTTAACCTTTAGAATAATCAGAATAAACCATGTATTTGACAGAATAAGGCTGTCTCCTCGAGTTTCCACAGCATGCAGCAGTGCAATATTTATTTGAATAATACATCTTAAAGTTAGGATCATAAACTACATTTGTTTATTTATCTATTTAGTTTCTGTGAATTATCTTGCTCTTTTGCACTTTAATTAATTACAATTATAGTATACAATATGTATATATATATATATATATATATATATATATATATATATATATATATATATATTTTTTTTTTTTTTTTTTTTTTCTGACAGACCTTACAAACAGTTTTAACTGAAACTCATTCATGGCCTTGTGAAAAAAACATTTCAACAACTCGACCATCAGACAAAATTTACTTAAATATTGTGATTCAGATTTAAATACAAATCTTCAGAAACTTTAAACACAGTTATAAACCTCTTTAAAATGATGCCAGCTATGGCCAAAGGTAAAACTGAACAAAATCAAAAGGATTTACAATAAGAGTTCCTAACAGTAGGAAGGGTCGGACCGTGGCATCACATGATATTTAGACATAATAAGTACCATAACAAATAATTTATGCTTTTGGAAAAGTCAAAGTAGGCGCATATACAGGTGTTGTACTACATGTATAATATATGCATGTATGTATAATTGGTTGGCGTCACATCAATGACCCATAATCTCTCTGCATAAATGACTAAAAAGGTTTTCACGTCGAAAAAACCAACTTTCAAAGCGTGATTTATGAATAGATAAGTACATATGGAAAAACCTCTATCCAAATGTTCTCACTCCCAGCAACTAACTAGATAGCACTGTTCAACTGAGGTATAATTATACTGACTTCTCAGAAAAAGAAAAAAAAGGCACATGTAATGAGTTGGCTTTAGGGGTGATAGCAATTTATGATTATTTACATCATCTGCCCGATTTGGCTGATTCTCAGCTCTCTGGCCCAGCTCTCTGCAGGTCTTGCCACTTCGTGAAGCAGGGATGATTTAGGATTATGCAAAATGGACAATCTCACACCTGCACTGGAAGATTGTGCTGTTTTTGTTCTCAAGGGCGAGGCAGAGGACACTACTCTCCCTGTCTGTTGTTGTCTAAGTCATTGCTCTGTGTAACTGCTCTGTCTGAATTTGATACAGACAATCCAAGAGCCTCTTAAAGCCTGGATAGGCTGTTAAATTTACAACCACTTTTTTGGTACGTTTTGGAAAATCTCCACAGCACGCAACAAATCCAAGAAGACAGAAAATCATTTCCTTTGGCTGTCGCAGGCCTGGAATAAGTCAGTCCAGTAATTTCACACAACTTTATAAAATTATCTGAAGGCTTATCTGCCTGTCTACATACTGTATCTACCTGCCAATCACCCACACTCTTTTCATGCATTCTTGGCTTTGGCTCTCTCTTTGTCAAAATCTTACTAACTGTATCTCTAAGTTACCTCGGCAGTATAGGTGATGAAGTTTGTACATCATTGCTTTGCTTTATCATTTCACGTTGCTTTGCTTGATAAAAGCATTAAATTATATTTATACTCCATTAATGAAAACATTGTAATTGCAGTTGGTGAAAAGCAGGGATTTCATTGACTAAATGGTTGAACTTTGTCGTCCTCCAAGCCAGTCATTTAGTCAAATTATTATATTTTGATTTTATTAGGCCCAAAATGTTGGTCAGTTGTATTGGTCAGTTGTGGTATTTAAACTGTAGCACAGCCAGCTGCCACTAACCGGGACTGCAGCACTGGCTAGTATCTACTGCCATAATGCTATAAAATGATAGTACAAGGATTCAAATAAGGAGAGATGACAGATGGCAGCACAGTGTGGTCAGATCTCATTTTGACATAGAGAATAAAGATGAAGCTGTATGGGGGCTGTGGGGAACTAAACAGGGATATAACCACATAACTAGGGCAATGTTTAACCAGCAGAAGTACCTGTAAGGTGTACTGAAAGCTGGAGGTGCTAGCTCTGCTCAAGTTAGCCACACTCTGCAATTCAACATTTTTCGGTTGCAAACTTCATTATCCTATGTTTGTATTGAGTACTGAAGTATGTTAGTATTGGAGTCACCAAACTTCAAATCCAAGTTCAGTCTTGTTTTTAATAACATAGGATATGTGACAAAGGCAAGACCCCTAAACGCTTACACTAAGTTTAAACGTACCCAGCAATATTTATGGACTTTTAACCCTCTCTGTTTACAAAAAAAAAACAGTGTGCAAACCATTACGTTTTAAGCAAAGTTTTCGTTTACATTAACCCGTGTATATATGCTGTCAAGAGCATATCAAACATGTGGGTGGCAGCGTAGAGAGAAGCTCAAGAACCACGTTAGCCAATCAGAATCCTGCATAGCAGCAACAACAACAACGTCCCTTCCTTCTTTCCTGTGCACAATCTGCCGTTGGCTTCCCAAGTCTCAGTTTTCCACCATTTTCCACCTTTTACATGCAAACAGAGTTTTCCAAAATCTCCACTCTGGCCGGAATTTTTAAAAAGCTTTTTTTTCAGGGGCGAATTCTCCGTTTGTGTCCAAACAAAGGGTGCAAACGATGGTTAATGTCTCAGTTTTTGAAAATAACCAAGTACGAGTAAACGGGGCCTTAGTATTATGTAGAAAAACCCAGAACATCACCTTACAGTGTGTACTTCACCCTGAGTGTGTTATTTTAGCTCATCAACAGATGGATCCATGCTGAACAGAAGGCTCTGTTGATGGATTGGAGAGACTACAGCGCAAGACGGAGACTCAACTCGCAGGTAAAAGTTACGACAATTTGTCAAGCATGTCCATGAAGAGTGCAGCGCTCTCTCCAAATCGAATCGCACATCGGCAATCTTTCTCCTGCACCGCCATCAATACAAATAATATTTTAATCCATAAGGATCATCTGAAAGAAGGAACTCTCTATAACGAAATCAGGATAACAGAATCCTGAGAATGTATTTTCATCACCGTCTACAACAAAATAAGAACAGGTTGATATTTGAAGAGCAGCTGCTGCATTATGCGCCTGTCAGTCAGACAATAAAGAGTAGGTGGGTGAATGAAAAAGTTGTCTCAGTAATATAAATGTTTGAAAGTAACATCTGCTGTTAAGAGCAGGGGGGACTCCATCATTTCACCTCCTTTTAATCTCTTTATTCATATCCCAGTTCTTATAAACTGTTTGTCCCTGCTGGACTGTTTCTGTCCTTGAATAGCCTCATTGTTCAGAATAACTGGCTTTATTAATCAGAACTTTTTAAGTTGTTTCTGGATCGACGTTACCATCAGTGTCCTCTACAATACAAGATTACTGTGTACCAGACATATTGTTAAGTGCAAATGGCAGAACACAGCAGGAAGAAACTCGGGACAGGGGCATGATTTATTGGGTACAAGTTGAATGCACTGTAAACCAGAGGAGAGGGAACTTTTTAATGGATTCTCTGTGAAAGACAAACAACTTGAAGTGTTCCTGTTCATCTTGTTGAATGGATTTGGGGCCTCTGGCACTCGCCAGGTGAGCTGTCAGAACTTTAACAAGCTTAGTGGTTTACAGCGCTTTACTGGAATCTTCTAGTTTCATTTTCTCTATTTTCTGCCTCTCTTTCAGGGCAATAAAATGACTAATATCCTACTGTCAGATTTATTCTGTCCCCTAGTTGGTTGCTTGGCTACATAAAGCCTCTGTCAATCTCAATGTGCTGGCACAAAGCGAACAGCAGCAGTCAGTTTAAAACAGCCTCAGCGGAACCCCGCAAAATCAATAACACTTCATTTGTGATAGATGTGAAATAAAATTAATGAAAAAATGTTCCATTTCCAAGAAGGTTACACTTTTCTCTAATCTGGGCTTTATCACTGACCCGCTGTGTTCTCATTTATACTAATTTGGTAGAGCAGAGAGGAAAACAAGAACTGTATAGGTCTGCAGCTGCCATGCCGACCTGACTCGTAATATTCTCAGTCCAGTTTTCTCTGTTTTTCTTAACATATTTTTTGCAACATTAGAAGAATAGATTTGTTTGAAATGAAATTCAGTATTCATAAGCATGTGTAAATCAGTGTTTTATTACCTGAATGTAAAAATTGTTTTGTTTTGTTAACTGAGAACAGGCTTTTTACATCTACATAAGAGCTTCACTGTATGAATTAGATTCTATTATCCTAAAACCACGAAGAAAAGATATACTCCAGAACTGCAGAACTGCAAGTGGAAAAAAACAAGTCCGCATACATAAATAAATAATCAAGGTAAAATGTTTAATTAACAACGCTCTTAATTTTAAAATCATGTAGCCCACCATTACGCTAGATACCACTAAATATAGCAATTTCAACGCACTACTTCAATGTTGTGATTTTTTAAAAATCAACAGTTTTAACCTTACCATGAAAATCCTTCTTTTATACTCTTCCAGCTTTGTTTTGGGCTTCTAAAAGCTAACTGGTGAACTCCTTGGCTCTCTACTCTTAGAAAAATGATGAGAAAAATACACACCTTTTACTGCCAGACTTTTCATCACTTTTCCCCCGGGTAAAAAGAGATCAACAGTAGAGTGAAAAAAATAGATTTTCTCTGTTAAAAATGACTGTCTATAGCGCACGCCACGAGAGAATTTCTCCCAGAATGAAAATAAAGCTTTGCAGTAGCAACAGTACAGGGGTGGTAAATCATGTGGATGGTCCGAGAGAAGTTTTCAAAGGACAAGATAATCAGAGACTTTAGGGGTTTAGATGGAGGAAGATGTAGTCGTTCAAGTCCCATAACCAGAGAACAGAAGCTAACTTTCAGCAGCATTTTTACATTATGAGCTAGCTTCACAAAGCTAGTTAAGATATGGTGTTTTTTTGACTTTGCCAACATTTAACACTGACAGAACAAGGCACAAGCACATATTTATGTTACCATGGGCATCATACATCATGCTGTTTTCTTTCCTAATGGCGGAATCAGGTTGCATGAATCCAAATCATAAGAAGGCATTTTCCAAACATATGTTGTGTAACATACACATCGCCAATTTTTGAATGAATAGATCTTAAGTGGTAAAGTGAAGAGCCTGCCACCAGCAGGTTTCAATGCCAGACTCATTTAATTCAGCATGAACTGTGTGTGTGTGTTTGTAGAGGACGTCCAGTTTTCTATGAGGCTGGTTTAATTTTCAAAGCAGTGTGAATGACCACAAATGGGTTGTTGATGCCACTGAACAGCTGGTTTGCAGGAAAAATGCCGTCCAACAAACCTATATCATCTTTCAGGTACAGTATATTTTGGCTATGGAGAATACTACTCTATACTTTAAATGGAGAGTATTTCCAACAAGTGCTGGGAAACACAAGAAAATTACAAATACCACAAGAATATTTTGCTTTATCGTTTAGGGTGACTTTATTCTGAATCCACAAAAAGAGGACACGACTACGCGGGGGCGGAGTGACAGAGTCATGGTGTCACACGTAGTTAATTTTGAGAGTTTTTCTGGTCGCATCGAGTGTTTTTTACGCGCTTCTAACTCAGTTAGTTCACACAGCACAAACTCAAAACTTCAATACATTTTTGAGTACTCCCCCAGACAAAGCAGGACAAGGTCAGACAGGCCGGACAGCCCCTCAAAAGAGAGGACATGTCCGGGTAAAAGAGGATGTATGTTCACCCTATTATCATTGACATATATTACAGTCAAGTCAACTTGAATTGACTTTTTTTGTTTTGAAACATACGGTGTCAAATAAAAAAAAGGCATGTTCAGTTTTCTTACTGATTTTGGAGTCTTCACAAAAACCATGACCTGGATGAATGAGAATCTACATTGACTTTTCTTACTGTGGTCTTGTTCTCAAAGACTCTTCACAAAAACAGCTCTAAGCAACATAAAGGTGCATTTAATTGGACTTCTTGAGAAAGACATTTCTAAACCATTTAAATCAGAGAGTCCTTTTTTCTTTCTGGCCATATTGGAATAACTAATTATTTTTCAAAACACAAAAAACACAAAATTTTCCCTGGGTCCATTGAAAAACATATTTTAACACCAATTTGTGAAGACAGAGTAAGAGTAAGAGTAAGCAATACAGCTTTTAGTTATTTTTTTTTATATAGGATGATCCTAAACAGAGGCAGGGAGAGCTGGAGAAAACATAACAGATTTAATATCAATAAGTTTTATGTTGTTTCACGTTTGATGGGAGGTGACCATCACATTACTTCAATCTGTCCGCCGTGACGGTAAAAACTTTATCATCCTCTTAAAGTGTTTGGCAAAGTCGTATGAAGGTGCATGGAGCTCTGTGCTGATTTAAAATTGAAGCAGGAGACTCACGGTTGATGAACAGCCTCTCGGGGAACAGGTAGACCTGTCTGGGATCTCTTTTTTTGCTCACTTCTGTCGCTCTCTCAGTGCCCTCCTCTGCCTCTCTCCGGAGAACAGTTTCTGGACGGGCGGGGGAATGTGTTGTCTACATTGACAAAAAGAGAGAGAGAAGGTGAGAAGTAAAACTCTGAAGAGGCGGCTTTCAAAGTCAGTGTTACAGTTTGCAGGACACTTGATTTTACATACATTATGTCATGTGAAGCACAGCAGATAAAGGCTGTCTTATCCGGAGCAGATCATTAGCTGTAATCTTGCACTTATCACCCTGAATGAATCAACACGAAAAGAGCACACTGCCTTTTTTGCAGTCTATCTGTGGTAAATTGTCGTTTTTACACAGTAGACTCACTTGACACCAGTAATATCTGCTGAGTGTGAGAGAGCAGTTGAATTCTCTGACTGCTCTCGCTGCGATTGTCTTTTCCTAACTCCCAATATCCACCTCTCCTTAACCCTGTGACATTCTCAATCAGGGTTAATGAAAAGAGGATAGGACAGGACTTAGGGGGTCATTTTTTGGACTTTAGACCTTCAATCTTTCTATTTCACTTTCTGGTTTAGCTGAGTTAAAAAAAGCATCATGTGCAGTGGCTCCAGTTCCCACTCTGTAGACCCAAGATTTGATTTTGTTATATTGTGATATTTTCTGATTCTTATCTGTTACAGTTGGGCAGTTGTATTTACAGCTGTCACTGCATGTTTTGTCGTAACAATGTAAGTGACTCATGCTCCTGAATGCGATGCTCTGCCTCATCTCTCCCTTTGCCTTTTTGCCTGGAGATGCATCGCTGCCTTACGAGGCAGCAAGTAAAGCTCAGAGAAACAACATCATTCACTGTAACATCCTTACATTACCTATTTGTTTTCTCTTTTCTGTGCTCACTGCCGCACTCCCCCCCCTTGATTTAAAACAGGCTTCATATGAAGGCCTTACACTGTCTCGCTGCCTGTTGTTTACAACGCTGCGCCGCTGTTTTTCTTCTCTCCTGCCATGAGACGGAGGACAAAGCTCAGGTAGCTCATCCCACACACTGACCAATAACACACATCATGGTGTCCATAAGTCAGGGCTGTGAGGGTCTATGGTGGTAAAGAAAAACAGCTTGTCTACTTCAACTGCCTTTGTGTCCAAAGGATGCATTTATAAAGATGTACGTTAGTCATCCGCTGAGATTAGTGGTCGACGGAGATCGATGTTTCAGCGGCTGATGCTAATTTGAGGACAGGTCAACCAGCGGCCATTATATGATGCCGATATCATGCTGTTGAAATATTTCGTGGAGGTGGATTGCTTTCAAGAGCCGTTCTATGAATGAGATAACCTTAAACCTCTGGATGTACGCCGAATTCTTCTTGTTCAAAATAAAACCACTGAAATATCTTCTTAACAAAATTGAAGAAAATCTGAAAACTTCATTTTTCTTCGAGTGCCTCATTTAGTGAACCAGCTTTTAAAAAAAATCTATTTACTGAGACCCATTATTCAAGTTACAGGGGGGGTTGTCCTTTCTCTATAATGGAAAAAGAAATTGCAGCACTTCACCTTTGAAAAGACAAGTTGTTTGTTTTATTTTTTATTAAATCCACATGTAAAGGGATTGTGCTCAATTTCTGACTAATTAATTACAGGTCAGCGGAGTTCATCCCTGCAAACTCCTGTAGCTGGTTCTTTGTGAGCAGAAGAAGAAAAGAAACTCGATTACTGCTCTAATCACAAATAGAGAGACTTCTTAACAACCTCAAGTGCCAAAGAGAAGGTCCAAAGACACACACAAAAAAGTGTGTCACTGCCAGGCTCGATGTAATTGTTGTAATGGCTCCTTCCCCATCCCCACTGAACAGTAGTTTCTCTTCCTAAAGGGTAATGGAAAAACTTTGGACACTTCTCCGGTGTAAGGAGGGCTGTTTAACAAACTGGCACTTTGTTGCTTAAAGATATTACAAGCACATATAGGTGATAGACTAACTGCTTTGTTAAAATGGCTCCCGGGAAAGCAAGGTTACTCCCTCTCCAACGCTTCTTATTGAGGTCACACCGCTGTTTTGTGCGCGATTGTGTTACCTTTATAAGTGTCTTTTTTCAGCTCAATGCAATTACTTTATTCATAATTGTGTGTATTTATTTTGTCTGCCTATTGAGTCCTGGGGCAAACATGAGATTTCTCTGTTATTGTTCACTGCAGGAAGTATATTTTGTGTCCAATTTCTTTCTGTGCATTCTCCCTCACAGGATTTGTGTCAAACTTGATATTCACAGAAAATATACAAATTATATTTTATTGATTTTACAACCTTTAAAGGGATATTGTGCGTAAAATTAATTTAGGGTCAAACACTCCCTAACATGGAGTTAGACACCCCCTCGAGAGATGAAAGTTGGTGACCGCTTGCTTCTCTAGTTTTACCAACTTTGGTAACGACCGCACGATAGCAATACACAGCGGTCTGAGGAGCCATAAACAAACCTGAACCAAAATGCCACTCTATAGCCACAAATAATGCTCAGAACAGCACCTAACTTCATCAACAGTATTTTAAGGGTCCTAGCCACAGCACTAGCCACCAAACATCTTTTTAACTTTGCCTTATTTCTTAAGCAAAGAGACTAAACACAACTCACCTACTCTCCTCCAGCAGCCGCTTGTTTGTAGAGACCTCAGGCCAGTCCATTATGGACTACAGCGGGGTGTCACAGCTCAAGGAAGAACATTTAGAAGAACTACAAAATGATTATTTTGATGATTGTTACTTCAAGGAAATGATAAAAAAATGATCATAAATGTTCTTCCTTCAGCTGCATCACCCCGCAGCAGTCCGTAATGGACTGGCCTGAGGTCTCGCTGAATATTGAATATGAACTTGTAATAAACTAGGCTCGTCACACTGAAAATCAAATTCGTTTGCATTCGACATTTGTACTGACCTTTCGTACAAATGTTTAAACCATAAGTCTTGACCTACACTGGCCAGCACACACAGGTCGCAAAAGGTCTACAAATATTGAGTAGTCTAAGTAAGACTTATTTATTCTAAAAGATCTTCTCAATAAGTCTTTGCCAATAGCCTGTAAGCAGCTTCATCTCTGCTGGCCTTTCTGTAAGGGAGACGTTTTTCAAGCTAAACTATCCTCCCACAGTTCAATGACCTCAAGTAACGACCTTGTCCTATCATGTCAATCAGTTTCTAAAAGTTTTAAGTCAGTCCATACTGCATGTATTAACTCTGTGACGTGACCATGGTTTTATTTATCATCCTGATGGTACAGACTCACTACATGCAGCCAAGATGCCCTGAGACACGCCGCCCACCTCAGCTGCTTCACTTGCTGTCCTTAATTGATGAGTGTTCAAACAAACAAACTAACAGCCCACATGTTTTATTTGCTCACTAGCACTGTTTTATTTAAATGCATGATTTTGACATGATGAGGGAGAAAAGATATAAAACAGTGGCACTGCAAGGTATCAAAAGATGCTTCACACTGAGAAGCAGACTGTTGAAATAGACAACAAATAATAAACTCCGGGCAGGTAAATGGACACAGTCCTGTAATGAGAGGGAATGTGAGCGAGAGATCAAATCTCCAGGATCAAAAGCCTCTATATTTAATTTTCTCTGGACCATGAAAGTGTGCGCCAAACCATGACTGCCATACAGAAGTTAGCCAAAGATTAAATGTGAAAATTCAAAAGATGTTGAGTGTTTCTTGTTCAGAGTTTAAAACCGGTTTCAATAAAACCCTTCAGAAAAACTGCACCCTCAAGTACAAATATGAGCACAAACTGCTCAGACCAAAGTCATTATTTTGTACAAGGCTTTGAATATGAAACAGGAGCAAACATGGAGGTTGCCTCTTTGTTTAAATGAACAATGCCACTATTTTACAATATTGTGTGAAACGTCACTGATAGATCCCTCTTCAGCCCCAGAGTATTATACTTTTTATGAAAAGACGAACAAACAAATGGCCAATTATGCCTCTTATTCTTAGACATTTTTAAACATGAGAGTAAACTAGGGTGAACATATTCTGAATCCCCAAAAAGAGGACACGACTACGCAGGGTGAAGTCGCGTGCAAGATTTTGAGGGGTTTTCAAGTCGAATCGAGTGTTTTTTCTGATGCTAGAAAAACTCAAAACTTTCATACAAAACCCAGACATTTGAAGGGTTTTATCAATTCCCCCCCGGACAGGAAAAGAGCCCCTAAAAAGAGGACATGTCCGGGTAAAAGAGGACGTATGGTCACCCTAAACTCTAGAGTAAACCCAAAGCCACATATGTATAGTTTCTACTTTTGCTGTAAGTCTGTTAGCTTTGTGCAGTAACTACGTTTGCTTTTACACAAATAAAAGTTCCTAATGGATAAGTAAAGCTTTTTGTATTAAATCAAACTGAGCTGAATTGAACTGAAAAGATGAAGACTCTCAAGCTACTATGATTCTGTAGTGTAGTAAAAAAATGAAGCAACGGTGAATATTGATAGTTGTGCATTTGTATGCTATTTGACCAGACCCCATAATGATCCATGAGAAGGCTGTGGGTCACTTATCTCTTTTAAAGTAGAGCCAATCTGGGATCAAATTCAGGCCACACTGTATGAAGTCCTGAGATACATTGATGCCAGAGCCGGCAGTCATCAGGGACTTTAGTAGCATTGTATGGTAATGACGAAGCCTTTTTAGTGCCTGCAGAGAAAAGAGGCAAAACAAATCTGCCACCACCTGTCACCTTGGTTTTGAAAGATCAGAGTCATTTAGGGTTATTTAAAAGGAAATGGAAGCATTTGCAGTTATGAATATTTGAAACTAATGATCGATACACAACCTTTTTCATCTTTTTTTTTATTTTTTTTTACACTTGCTGGTTCAGTATGACTCATTTAACTTAATGAGCTCATTTGGCCTGATTTTGAAATGTGAAAGCTATTTCAGCTATCCTGAAAAACAACACACAAATACTGATGACTTTATCACAACGCTGGGTGCTCAGTTAAGCAGAAATACATAGTAAAATAAACATGAACTGAAATCACCGGCTGTGATTAAACTGGAAGTGCCCTTCAAGCAGAAGACATACAGCTTTAAAACTGAGGAAGAAAAGAGAACAATCTCAGAAAAGAAAGCTCTCCTTGCATTTGCTTTCTTTTTGATCTGAATTAACTCATGGCTTTACTGTTTTTACTGCTTATTGCTTCAACATTAAATCAATGCAGATTTGTTTTTCCTCATAGTTAGGGGTCATATCCTCTCATTCTAGCGCAATAAACAGTTGTACTCTTAAAACACTATTTATCAATCAAACTTTATTTAAAAAGCACTTAAAAGAAATGAAACACAAGTATTTATGTGTCATGGGGTTCAAAATAATCTTACAAAATTCCACCCACAACTACCAACCCACATTCAACTCACACAACACCTGTGCACAGACACAAACGCACACACATAAGGAGTTAAGAAGACTTAGGGAACACTATTTAAGTTAAATGATTAAACAAAGGACCTTAGACTAAACTGATAAAACCATGATGATATGATAAAAAATAATAAAGCATCAAAAGTTGATTAAAATAAAACAGTCTTAAAACCAAAATAAAGAAGAAGATGAATAAAAAAGGGGTAACAAATCTCTGCATTGGCTACCTGTGTCTTTCAGAGTAGATTTTAAGGTTCTTTTATTCGTTTTTTAAACTCCTAATGGTCTTGGTCCTTCCTATTTGTCTGATTTGCTTTTACCGTCTGAGCCTGGTGGAGCCCTCAGGTCTTCAGGTGGCGGTCTTTGAATTGTTCCCAAAGTAAAAACTAAAAAATAAGGTGAATCATCGTTCCAATATTACGGCCCTCATCTGTGGAACAGCCTACCTGCAGACCTGAGAGCGACACCTACTGTTCATATTTTAAAAAGTAAACTAATGACCTACCTTTTTAGTCTGGTTTTTAGCTCAATTTTCTTTTAATCTCTTAATCTGCATGATGTGATTTCACCCTAGAGTAACTATTTTGTTTTATTTCCTCTTTTTTAAATTTACTTTCTATAATTGTTTGATTTTAAAACCGTTTAATTTAATTAACTTTTAACGCTTTATCACTTTTATTATATTTTATCATGGTTTTGTCGTTTCAGTCCTAGATCCAGAGTTTTCTCATCTTTTTTAACTCAAGATAGCGTTTCCTCAGTCATCCGTAGCAAGTTGAAGAGTCCTCACCTGGTCTTTTGTGTATGCATGTGTGTGTGTGTGAATGTGTGAGTGCTGGATGTGTTGAATGGGGGTTGGGAGGGTGGGTGGGGTTTGGTTTTTTTTATTTTTTTTATTTCACTTTTTCACTTTTTTTTAACATATCCTGCTTGAATGTACAGCTACATTCATACATGCAAAATATACAATGTCTGTGCTACATTCTATGTATGAAGAGTGCTTTAAAAATAAAGTTTGATTGATTAATTGATTTGAAAATATTAACTCTGACTAAACCCTAAACCCTAGGGTTTACTTAGAAACCCCAACCAAACAAGGGTCAAATCACATAATGCAGATTAAGAGATTAAAGAAAAATGTGCTAAAAGACAGACTAAAAAGGTAGTTCTTAAGTCTGCCTTTAAAAATATGAACAGTCTGTGATGCTCTCAGGATTCAGACAGCAGATATAAGGAAATAATTAATGCAACAAAAAGACAATTTTCTGAGGTATTTCTGGTTATAGGTTAAGGAAGAGTTTGTGCATGACAGCACATGTCAGGGCATGTACTGTATCTATATTACTCCAAATGAACTCGACTGACATTTAAGTATCCCTTCAAAGACGAAAAATTTTCTCATTTGCTTGGTTGAATTGATATTTCTCAGCCTTTCATGTCTGTGGTTGAAAAAAAAAAAAAACTGTTAATGCTGACAGATTGCACCTTTTTCCCATTGCGTATGTGAAAAGCCTGGAGGCCAGAGCAGACTAAACCAGTGTTTAACATTCTATTGCTGGGAGTTAGCCGAGTAAATAATGCATAGGTGCAGCAGCAGCAAAACTTGTGTTTACAGGAGCAATTATCAGCTCAGAAACTCGCTGTGTCCCTGGAGCTTCAACCACTTCTCAGACAAATGTTAAAAAAAGAAAAGAAAGTAAGAAAGGGAAATGCATTAAAGTTCCTAGCTTAAAATTGCAGGGGTACAAGGTCAACTCTGGATTCTGCCCTGAAATCCTCTCAGTGTTTGGCATCAAGGTGCAGAATCCTAACCAGCTCACTGTTAAGTGCATCCACACAAGACTCCCCGATTGGCTTATTAAAGCTCTCCCTGAGACTTTGCCTTTTAAAATTTTGTTGTATTTTTTATGTCTGGGAAACTTACACAATTTAAACCCTTCAGTTTTACAACACCCATAAACTCAAATGGCTTTTAGCAAAACCTTCTAAAGTTCAACTTTAAGAGAATAAAAACAAAGACTGATGTGAGTGAGACAAATTAAAATAACTATTCAATAAATATTAAGGCGGATTTCTCAAATTATAAGGAGGGCTGATCAATATCATCAAAGAAATAAAACATCTTGAATGTGAATAATAAATCGGCCAATTTTAGTTTTTGAGACTGTTTGAGACTAATCGGTAATCGGCCAAAACTTGCCGATTGTCACCGATATTTTCTGAAATAAAATGCGGAGAATAAGATTCGGTTTCACTTTTGAAAATGTTCCGCCATTTGAAAAGATCCCCTGACTTATCCTGTAGATGGCGCAGCGACCTCATGACAATCTTCATCCACTAACTACCTCAGGGCAGCTCAGGGACGCACAGAGGAGAGTGGTCCGCCTCAACGGTAAATAAACCAGTTTGTGAAATACACAATAAGTCAACAAGTTTCAGTTCAACCCACTTCACGATGTTCCCTGTACGATGTGCTGGTCTCGGTCATGCCGAGTTAACGGTAAAGCACCATGTAATATGCAAGCTAAAGTTAGAGTTAGCGACCTGCTTTTAGCCTTGCTACACTGTTAGCCGTGCCAGTAACGGTAGAATAAACAACAGTACACATTATATGATCAAGCTACTTCTCTTACTGAGGCGGCTGCATGTCTCCAAATGAGACCGGACCGGAAATGAGTAACGTGAGTTAAGACGCGGGGGGTGTAGTATAAAACGCTTTTCTGGCCCAAGTTTGATTCATGATAACTACGTGGAATATTACTGAGATGATCAGTCCGTCTTCCTGTCGGCGTGAAGAGCAGTAGCCTACAGTATATCGAGTGTTCCTCATTTTTTATGATGTACGTGAGTTAACTTTATTTTTATTTATTTATATAGGCTATTTATTTTAGAGGATGACGTGTGTGAGTTTAACAAGATGGAGGTTGACAAAATAATCAGACTCACACCCGCTACAGTCTGAATAATAAGCTGAAAAGAATTAGTTTATCATCTTTATTACAGTTAAAATAAACAGCCATTGGTTGTTTTAGCAATAAAAAGGATTTGAAATGATTTTTCCGCCTTTAATTCTGTGAAGAAGTGTTTGAAAGGCTCAAAAGCAGCCATTTGTGAAAAAATATATAGATGTATTACTTTAAATAACAAAATTTTAAAACTTCATCAAAAATTTTAAAAATTGGCAGATTAATCTGTAATCAGATTTTTTCCCCTCTAATAATCGGTATCGGCATTGGCCCGAAAAATCCATATTGGTCTGGCCGTAGCATACAGAACATCCAACAAGGATTACTAATGACATTCTCCCGTCTGTGCACAACCTGTAGCCTGTATCACATGAGCTATTGTTAAATGTTTGCCATCCAGTGATCTCCAGCAGACTGATTAGATGGCAGCTCACTGTGTGTGTCCCGAACACTGGCGTCAGTGGCAAGCAATAACAGAGATTGATAGCAGAGTTAGGACAGCCATTTGGAGCCTTGATCTACAGCATGGGATCTCAAGGGATGAAGCCATCCCAGCCGCACTCAGCTGCCCAGGGCTGCTGGTCGCAGTAATCGAGAGGAGATGTATTTATAAAGTGCCCTGCTCAGCAACCCCGCTCATTCCAGTAAATCTGAGGGGGGGAGCTGAGAGGGAAAATGTCACAACCCAAGGACACTACAAGGAGCTAACCCTGCCAGTGCCAGTAGGTAATTGGGGTGTCAGAGTGTCCGAGAATGCATTTCCAGCTATCACACATTTTGGCTCGGGGTAGTGCGACGCTGTCCTGGCGGCGTTTAGACAGAGAGAAAGGCAGAGGTGGGTATAAGAAGACAGAGAGCAAAAATTGAAATTTCTTTTCATGCTATTGTTGG